ACATTTCTAGCATTATTCATCATCTTTGGAAATTACATAACCCTCATCCCCTCATCGACCCTCCTCTAGAACTCTACACACTTGAGGAAACAAGACCCTTCCGTAGTGCTAGCAGTGAATCTAGTGGCAGTGAGATCGAAATTTATGCGGCTACATCTGTATGAAGGCTGAAGCGTGCGAGAGACAATAGACATCACTTTGTACTTTTCAATTGTTTATTTACACGTATCAATCATAAATGTACCATTATATTACATTGGTCTTGTAATGACCATGAGCTATAGTAGTCACCCCATCCTCTAAGATGTAGCGCTTATCATCATAGGGGCTAAGACCCACTTTGTTTAAGTTTATTGTAAGTACTTGATGCTTATAGCTACGTATTTGTTTCATGTTAGCCATGGTTCTCTTTCGCTTAAACAAACAATCTCTATAGTGGGTATGTCTGATATCCCGCTTCGTCACCTGTTTCGCAATTCCCTTAGCAGTTTTTTTCTCAACCTCATGACCATCCTCAGCATAGAGAAGAGAGTACATTTTCGGTCGTAGACCCACGAACTCTTTGATGGGTAGCCCATGGGTCTCTTCCTTCATCTTACCAATCACTTTCTTGTTTGTCGTACTGTAGAGGGTGTGGTCTCTAGGGTACTCTGAGGTGTCAAATAGGTCAAGGTCTTGAAACATATCTTGGTAGATGTCCTCTGTCTTGATGTTATAACACAGGGAATCTGTGTCTGTAAACAGTAGGGTTGCCTGGCTACCGTATTTCTGCTTGATGTAATTATAATGAAAGTCGTACATCAGGGTTTTAGACAATTYTAAAATACTGAACCCGATGTAAATAGGCCTATTTAAATAAAGTGATGGTTTCTTCATGTTGACTGCCACCAAGTTTTCATCAAAGATTCTGAAGTAGTCAAAGAGGGGTGATGCTGTCAGTTTCTTGAGCTGCTTTTCCGTGTTGACCAGTTTCACATTCACTCGCTTCCTCAAGTTCTCCATGGTCTTGCCAAACACAGAATTATTCATTAATTTGAAAAAGTCTTTTTCAAAGTCATTTCTTGCATTTTTCCGTTTTTCGGTATTGAAGTCGATGTATTTCTTTAGCCAGGGAGATTGGTCAAACCCCAACAYYCGGTRTACTTTCTCCAGTTTCATACCCAGTGACAAGTACTGTTGCAGGTTGCGGTAATGAAGAACGTACTTCGTCTTATCGTTCAAGTTAGGTACCAGTTTGTCTGTGGGAGCACCGCCAAGGTTCAGGTCCTCAAGAAGTTGCTGACAGTAGGGAGAGAGCATTTCCTCTGTTACCTTTCGCCTTTCTGGTGCTAGGGGGTAGTCATTATGAAAATCGTGTAGTTCTTTGGGGTAGCTGAGGTCTACTTCCAGTATATATCCTTCACCTCCATCTACAGGGATGGTCATAAGGTTCTCGCGAAGTTCTTCCACTTCCGGGTCACTCAACCATCCAAAGTTGTTAACAGGGAGCGCTTCAGACATAGTCCAACCGTAGAGATTGTTTGYGTCGAGATACATGATATAATTATTTTCTAATTCTGGGTTATAACCTTCTACATAGTGATTATTCGCTCTTGCAAATCGATGGGTGATCATCGAAATCCCACCCCTTAACCCTTCCTCCAAAAATAAATACATATCGGGGTCTGTGAGTAATTCCAACTCCACGCCAGTCATCTTTAAACATGCTAACCACGAAAGACCGGGAGAGGTGTAAAAATGACCTGGGTCGAGTTGATAATACTCCAGACAAACTTCTCTAAAGTTTTCAAACACATCTGCTAACAGCAAAACGTCCGATTTCAAATACAAGTCATGTTAGTCTCCTAGTTTCGTACACTGAAATTCTCTATATACATTCTGTGCATGTTCGTAGTCTGCTTGTGATAATCGTGCTACCCGACAACGAACTATAAAAGCAATCGATGTGGGGTAAACAGGTTTCTTCAAACTTGCCAAAACTATTCATGTATTCATAGGGGTACACCCCCTTCCTCAACAAGAGAGATACCTTCTCACTCTCCACATACTTCTTCAGGGTCTTAAACTTATCATCTCCTTCCTTACTTAGATTCATTACTAATTTCTCTAGTGAGCTATTCAAAAACTGAAGTGAGTCTATGAATACTAAATCCCCAACTGAAAATGAAATATACTTTTCCGTATTATTGGTTATACAACTAATATTCTCCCCCTTGATTTTTCCGAGTTTTTGTAGAATTAAATGTGAGTCGTACTCACGAAGATTTTGAAGAACAGCGGGTATCTTTCCTGTAAACTTGTAGTTCAAGTTACAGTCATTGTGGGTCGCCCCCCTGTACGCCCCTGTCAAATGATCATGGTCCCTTACCCTGTCCGCACCCAATTCCTCATTACAAATGTGACAAAGGGTTGCTGCCTGAAACTCCCGCTCCTGTTCTTCACTAATGTCCATGGGTACTACCATCTTCAAGATTTCCCCTATCTGCTTTCGTTCTTCAATCAAACAGTCTAAAAACTTATCGACACAATCTTCCCCGCGATAGAGAAGAGGCGGGAAGCAATATTGCTCGACAGTCGATACTACAGTGTAACAAAACCCACTGGGTTTGTGTTGTTGCGTTTTTTGTGTAAAACTTGTACTAGGGTCTAATTCTGTATCATCACAATTCACTAAAATAGATTCGAAATCTGCATAAATGATAAATGGTACTTTTAACTGTTTTTGTACGTCATTGTATGACAGTGTTGTATGGTCTTCGTCAGGCAGTCTGATTTTCTGGGGTCCGCGTTTACTACAGTGAGGTTCATGATCTTCTAACGAATCTCGCCTGACAAAGCCATGCAAACAATACATACAGTGGTACATGTGATGCTCATGTCGATTCATGCTATACAATAAACGATCTAAATCCCTGATTAAACAGTAGTGACGCGTATTATCTTTAGAAAACAGTAATAAATTCACATGTAGTTCTTTCCTTTCTTTCGTAATGTAAAGGGGAAAGAGCTCTTCATCTTCATACCCCAAGACGTTGATACTGATTTCTCTATTCTGCTTCTCAAATTTGCTAATATGTTTTATTTGAACGGGGTACTCGATTCCTGACATATTTAGTTCAACTTCATACCTCATATAGTTGTTGATGTGGTTTGGGTTATTTTGCCGGTCCACAGGGTGTTTTGCCGCTAGTATTGACCATAAAAAGCATTTTTCATCTTCATTTTGAATGTTGAGCACCGCTTTCTTGTCTTTGATCTTCTTGGGTAGAGGTATGTAACTCGATCCCTCGAGAGGAGTGTAAGCAGCGACTCCTAAGACGATTTCCAACACCTATGATAGCAAGAATACTTTATTAAGCAGATATAATGTATGCACATATAGCAGAAAATCATCGACGGTCGAATGATCCCCTTTGTGCTATAACGATGGTGCAATTTAATTACCTCTTCCAATAACCATCCAGACCCTTCTCTCTGGTACTCCAAGAAAGAGTTCTTGATCTTTTCCATTCCATGCACGTAGTTTTTTTCAATTTCTGTATCATTGACTGYAGTGTAGCATTTGGTGCGAAAATGGGGGGTTGAGATCTGGTCCTGACCGTCGGGGCTCGACTTGACCATCTTCACCTTTACACACAGAAACCACTTGATCCCGCGATGTTTTTTGAGCTGGGTTTTCAGTTTTTTGATGATGGTCTTCTTTTTTCCTTGAAGGGTGAGTAGCAGATCGTATTTTTCATTCTTGTGGGGTTTATATTTAAACGTGGTCACATTTCCACCAAGCGCGCATTCTTCAGTCTCTCCACCACCTATTTGTACATCATCCTAGAGAAAAGAATCATTTCTTAGAAAAACTTAGTCAACAAACACCCTATGATAACAGAGGCTTACCTACCACTTCATTATCCCCCARAATTTCTCCGTCGTATTCTTCATACATTTCCGGGGGTATGTTTGCTAGCTGAAATCGAAAAAATTGGTATATAAGACGACTTGAAAAACTAT